TCTTGGCTGCATTGCTATTTGCGACGCAGCAATCGGACCTGCATCCGGAATGGACTCCAATGGTGGCATATACACAATGCCAAAAGGGCTCCAGTGCGCTCCGATGAGGCAACACTAGGGGGCCAGATGCGAACCCTACCCCTACCCCCCACGATTTCTGAGGGGGAGGGTGGGGTTCACTTCGTGGGGGGTAGGGGTAGGGTTCGCATGTGGCCCCGCTAAGCACGTCGTGGATGCGCGGTGTTTGATGCGTGTGGTCTGTCCTTTGCCATGACCCGCGGATTTCCCAGGATGGCTTCACGATGCCCCCGCGAGGCCAACGCTTTGGACGCCCGAAATGGGTACCGAAAAAAATGGTACTATGCCCAACAGCAAATGTTGTCCCAAACCAACAGCGGCCGCTGTTGGGCAGGCGGCCTCCTGTCTCGAATGTACACAGGCCGCGGCGGCGTGGACAGCGAGCCCTGTTCAAACTGAACAAGATCCGCTGTTGGGCATTGTACCCATTCTTTCAGTACCCATTTCGTGCGTGCAGAAACGCTGACTCCAGCAGTGCCCAAGGTGGCCCCACGGTGGGCTCCATGAGCCCCAGGGCGCCCTCAACATCGCCGAGTGTGCCCCCGAGGAGCCCCCAGTCGGGCCCAAGAGGCCCCAGTGTGGCCCCAATGCACTCCCAATGTTGGAGGCCTGGAAATTGGCACCAACACCAGCACAGGGGTTTGCCTCCACAGGGAGATGATGATCTTAGATTTCGGTGTTGGTGGTAATATTTCGGTCACCTTCGAAGCCAGAATATTACCACCATCACCGAGATCGGGATCGTCTTCCCTCGGTGGAGGCACACCGCCGATCTTGGTGTTGGTGTCAATCTCTAGGACTCCGACGATGCTGTGTGACCAAGCCCAGACGGTGGCCCAGATGCCCCCCAAAGAGGCCCGCAAGCGGCTCACCCCCGAGAGGCATGGCGCCAACCATGCAGCGCCACCGCCGTGCCCCGCAGAAGCGTCGCTGTGCACTTTCCCCAGGCGCGCCGGCGGACGTGCGCGACAGCGCCACTGGTACAGAGCTCGCTAGAGGGCCAGACTGGCGGAGCCTCGATGAGCCTCTGCGCGCCCCGAAGGGCGGAGACAGCGAGGACCTCCCGTGCCAGAACAGGCCACGGTGATGCTTAAAAGCCTGACCAACGCAGGCGCTAACGGGTTGGATTTCACGGCAAAGCGAACGCATCTATGTACATGTGAAGCAGGACAGTGCAGCGGTACATCCTGACCTCATGGCATGGTGCCTCCCGCCGAAAACGTTGAACCTGAGCTTGACGCTCTGCACTGGCGATTGAAACATCGACCCGCTTGAACAACTCACAACCAATCGCAACCAACAGCTTGGTGCACCACCGTTCATCAGTCGGGTACCACAGCCAATCATGTCACTCACGTGCGGGCAATCACTGTGCAGTCCCCTCTTGGGGCGACGGCCAGGCCAGGCACCTCACCTCCCTGGGGACAGTGGAGGCGGCCTGCTTGATCTCGTCGCCGAGCTCCTGCGATGCTTCGGGGACCTGCCGCGCAGCTCCGCCAGGGCGCCAGGCGAAGTGGCCACTCTTCGGACTGTCGATTCCCAGCTGCTTCCGCATCCGCCTGGGCAGCTGTTGACCGCTCTTGTACCTCTGCAAGTAATCGAAAGGTCCGAGCCCCTGAGAACTGGACACACTGTAGTCGGTGGTCTGGCTGTTCCACATGAGGCCATCAGGGTCGCAATTAGCCATTATGACCTCCAGCACCGTCAGGTCGCCGTGAGCATGGTAGCTGATGGCCCCCACTGGGCAAGACACGACTGCCCAGTCCACATCCTCCACAGAATCGGCGTACTGGTGCGTCACGCGAGCGCGCCCAGAGCCGTCCATGTCCATCTCAAACGTGTTCGGGGCACACTCCACGCACCGCACGCACATCACGCACTCAAACTCGTCCACAAAAACACCCTTCGTTTCTTTGGGCGCACAACTGAACTCCCAACTGCTTGTACGGTCCACCGTGCAATCCACCTCGGCCTCATCCGGCGAATCCTCTCCAGCGAGATGGCGCAGCGAGTCATCGTAACTTTTCTTCTGGGTCTCGTCTGTGAGCGTGCGGTACGCAATAGTGATCAGCCTGGCCAGGTCGGTTGTGCCCTGGCCGAGGACGTCAGGGTGGACCAACTTCAAGACCCGATGGCCAGATGTTGCTAGAAGTGGTCCTGGCCCAAGGCGCCCCCAGCTTCATCTTGGAGCCCATGAAGAGGAGGAGGTGGAGGAGGACGAGGAGGAGGAGGAGGAGGCCATCCCCCTCCAACTTATGGTGGTGGTGGTGGAAAACAAGCCCATGATTTTCCAGAACCGTGGGGACGCCTCGGGCCGAGGACACCCGTGGCAGCACCCGAGATGGTTGGGGGGCGGAAAGATACGGATACGTGTTGTCCCCGGACCTCTCTTGGGGTGCGTTCTGACCAGAATTTCGAGGCGAATCCAGCGGTGACAACGAGGATTCCCCAGGAGGACCAGGAAAGGCCGAAAACGACGGGGGAGACAACACGTACCCGTATCTTTCTCTCCCCCGAGATGGTAGGCCCGGCGAACCTCCGCCACGTGGCCGCTGAAGCGCGGCAGACCCAGCAGGCCATAGAAGTCCTCCGGCACCTCCGGGGCCTGCCGTGCCGGCCGGCAGGCCGGCGGCCGCCCGAGCCGTGGGCGACCACGGCCGCGCCGCCGCGGGGCGGCGGCGAGGCCGAGGCCGACCGCGCCGCCCGCGGCGGCGGCGGCGGCGAGGCGCCCCGGGCCGGCCAGCGCTCCGCAGGCGCGCGGCGCGCCCCTCTCGGCTCCGAGGCCTGCTCGGAGGGCACCAGCTATACACCAGCATCGATCCTGGCCAGGATCACCCTGGGCCCAGGATCGGTGTGTATGCCCTCTTGCGCAGGGCAGGAGGGCGTGTACACCGATCCTGGGCCCGGGGTGATCCTGGCCAGGATCGGTGCTGGTGTATAGTTGGTGCCTTCCCACCTGCGGCGTCGGCGGCACCGCTGGCGGCCCCGCTGGCCGCGGAGGGCCGAAGCTGGCAGCCAGCCGTCGCGCGGAGCATGCTTGGAGCCGAGGCCCCTCGCGCCGCTGCCGCCCCGGGGTGCGGCTGGGGGCCGACGGGGCCTTCAGCCGAAATGTTACGGCGGCCGCCTGGTTTCCAATCACAATTCCTAGACAGCTCTCGACACAAGCTGTGCGTATCTCTGCAACCATGCTTCATCTTGCCCAGTTTGAAGGCCAAGTTCGATCGATTCCAATTGGAGCGGAGCGTCGCCGTGCGTAAAACAAACACCAACGTGTACACTCATGTTTACTGCCGACGTCCGTAAAGTCATCGGACACACCATGCGTCCCACGACGAAGCATGCAACATACAACTGCGCAATCGATCACAGTCAAGGAAAAACGAGTAGCTTGATAACAATTCGTTGTGGACTATCCCCCTACTATGCAGTGGAAGGTGGCTAATGAATGTGAAGCGTCTTGAACTCGCCCGCCCACGGCCGCACCGTGGTCTGAAGGGCGTGGAAATACATAGCACCCCGCAGATGCGGATAAGAGTGAGGGGGCGGTGGGGACGTCGGCAATTCGCGAGACTCTGGAGAAGCCAGCCGCAGGCGCCAACGTTTCACACATCATACAACGAGCCCGCCGCAGGCGCCGATTTTTTCGTTAAACCAGTGTGGGTAGGTCGCGGGTGGGTCACGGGTGGGTCGTAAATGGGTCGCGGGTGGGTCGCGGGTAGGTCGCGGGTGTAGAGGGCAGAAAATCCACCCCAGAATAATCACCCCGACAAGCGAAGCCGTTTAGTAAACGCACCAGGAATGAATCGAACAGGCCAGGGCTGTTTAGTCAACGCCCAAGGCTGTTTAGTAAACGTCCATTGTCGGGTCCGGGTGGTTTTCCCTCCCTTGAGGGTGGGTCGCGGGGGTGGGTCGCGGGTGGGTCGCGGAGTGGGTCGCGGGTGGGTCGCGGATGGGTCGCGGATGGGTCGCGGGGTGGGTCGGGGGGTGGGTCGTGGGTGGGTCGCGGGCGGGTCGCGGGTGGGTCGCGGGGTGGGTCGCGGGTGGGTCACGGGTTGGGTCGTAGGGTGGGTCGCGGGGTGGGTCGCGGGGTGGGTCGCGGGGTGGGTCGCGGGTGGGTCGCGGGTGGGACGACGACAACAAACAACAACAAGAACAACAGCAACAACAACAACAACAACAACAACAACAACAACAACAACAACAACAACACCACCAACCACAACAACAACAGCACCAACACCAACAACAAAACCAACAACACCACTAACAACAGCACCAGCAACAACAGCAGCAACAAAAACAGCAACAACAACGCAACAAGCAGAATTCTGACCACGAATTCCTTATTCAGCCACGCACCCAGGGACAATAAATGACCGTTCGCCCCCCTCACTTTGACTTACTGCGAGTCTTACTTACACTGTTTTGCCCGCCATTTCTTCCCCAACAGACTGCCCATAGTACGTTGCCAACTGCGGCCGTACCGATTCGAATCGCCAGAAATAATTCAGGACGAACGTGACACATTCATCTCAGGGCTTCGTTTTGGACCCTGTGCCGAGGGAGCCTTGTAGCCTCCAGAGTTGGCTACTTTGGCATATAATAAATGGCTCTCTCGTTTACCTTCGACGGGTACTTCAATGACTTCGGTATGGATGGCATCGTATTGAACCCCGCGCCCTTCCTCGTTCCCCACACCCCCGCTTCTCGCTTCACGCGGGTGACCCTAGGCAAGAGTGACCTTTGGTGCGCGGCAGGAGGGGGCCGAGAGGGAGGGCCGAGGGCCAAATTCAAGTGCACCAACCAATGCGGGGTCGACCCCTGCGGGCCCGCACCAAAGATCACTCTGGCGAGGGGTCACTCTGACGCGCAATCCATTCCCTCCTCCCGTTCCTTCCACTGCCCGCCAACGTCGGAGGGGCCTGGCCCCCGCCAGCCCCGCAGCCGCCGCACGGCCCTTTGGCGGCGCCCGCCGGGTCCTTCGGCCGGGCTGGAACTCTGAAGACCCCGTGCGCGGAGGGCGCGGGGCTTTCCCTCTCCCCCTCCTCCTCCTCCTCCTCCTCCTCCCTCTCCTCCTCCTCCTCCTCCTCCTCCTCCTCCTCCTCCTCCTCCTCCTCCTCCTCCTTCCCCTCCTCAACTTCTTCTTCCCCCTCCTCCTCCTCGCCTTCTTCCTGCCCCAGCTGGATTCGTCCTGCTCTAGCTCGATGGACAAGCATTATAAGCGATCGGCCGTGGGACGACGGACGCCCTCCAGTCATGGGATGCCCCCGATTTTCTCCTCAGGCTATGTGGCAGTAGTCTCCAAGGAGCTTTGCCATACATACTTCCCACATGCCCCTCCTCCTCTTTCTCCTCCTTTTCCTCCTTTTCCTCCTCCTCCTCTTCCTCCTCCTCCTCCTCCCCTCCCACCGCTTCATCTCCTTCGTTCTCGCCCTCTCCCCTCCCGTGTCGCGAGAGGTCTGGCCGCACAGGAAGCGGGCACCAGGCGAGAGCGCCCTCCAGCCCCTCCCCCTGCTATTCCTGCTCCTCCTGCTCCTCCTGCTCCTCCTGCTCCTCCTGCTCCTGCTCCTGCTCCTCCTCCTCCTCCTCCTCCTCCTCCATATCATTGTCACTGTAATCGTCTCCCTTCCTCCTCTTCCCCCCCCCTCTCATCTACCTCCTCGCCCTGCTCCTTCCACCTCCGCCTCCTCCATCCTCGCCCCCGCCTCCTGCTGACGCTGCTGGCCTGGGTTTTCGCCCGAACAGAACCATCTCCTGCTCTTTCTCCTCCTCCTTCTCCTTTCAAAACCCTTCTGAAGAACTTCTCCCTTCCACACGCCGAAACCAATTTTTAGGACGGGCCGGGCGTTTCGCCGGAGGTTCTCGCCTCAGCGCCGCGCGCCTTCGTTCTTAACATTCGCAAAGAGTTTCACGGATTGGAGGCGGGCCATTGTCAAACTGTGGCTCTCGCCTTGGCGCCGGGCACGCTCGTGCTAAACACTTTGCGAGTTTCTCGGATCGAGGGCGGGTCGTTTCCAAAATGTGGCTCGCGCGTGATCGTCGCGCACACTCGTCTTAAACATTGTCAAGGGTGTCGCGAATTGAGGGCGGGTCGTTTTCAAACTGTGGCTCTCGCCTTAGCGCCGCGCACGTTCATTAGAACGAATTGCAAGAGCTTCACGGATTGAGGGCGAATGGCTTTGAAAATGTGGCTCGCGCGTCACTGCCGCGAACACTCGTTTTAAACATTGTCAATCGCTTCACGGATTGATGGCGGGTCCTTTTCACTATGTGGCTCTCGCTTTAACGCCGCGCACATTCGTTATTTAAATTTTGCAAGAGTTCAAAGGATTCTCATGATCAGCGTACCCAGAATCATGGTTTCAAAGGATGTATGAGGGTGCAACGGTCACGGTGAGTCGCGGTGCTGAAGTCCTCGGAACGGCGTTTTGGCACGGTTCAGGATCGTCAAGACGCAACAATCAGTCAGGTTGATCCGTGGCGTTGGAATCCCGAGAGCGATGTTTTGGAGTGCTCCAAGGTCTTCAAATGGTTGTCTTCCAACGAGGCAATTTTCCTGTGGAGATGCACCGTCGCAGGGGCCTGTGAAGCAAACAGAACTTGGAAGGAGGGTTGACTCCAACATCGTTGATGACTCTTGGGTTTGCACTGGCCCTCCTCCTCCTCCTCACTTCATTTTCCTCGTGAATAACTTCTCCCTGTCGCGCCCCGAGACCAGTTTTTAGGGCGGGCCGGGCGTTCCGCCTGAGTCTTCCTCACTGCTTATGACCCTGCAGCTTCAACATGTGCAGCTCTTGCACAGATGGAATGCGGGTCGTTTTTTCAATACGTGGCTCTCGCCGTAGCGCCGCGCACTCGCTTCAAACACCGGCAGAGGATGTCACGAGCCGGGGGCGGGTCGGTTTCAACATGTGGCTCTCGCCTTTAGCGCCGCGCGCAGTCGTATTCAACACCTGCACGAATTGCACGGATTTTTGTTTGGGGCCGTTTTCAAAATGTGGTCCTCACCGTAGCGCCGCGCACACTCGTATCACACATCGTCGAGAGCTTCGCGGATTGAGGGCGGGTCGTTTTCAAAATGTTGCTTTCGCCTTAGCGTCGCGCACACTCGCTCCAAAACATTGCACGGGTTTCCACGGATTGACAGCGGGTGGTTTTCAACATGTGGCTCTCGCGTCAGCGCCGCGCACATTCGTTTCAAAAGTTTGCAAGAGCTTCGCGGATTGAGGGCGGGTGGTTTTCAACATGTGGCGCTCGCGTTAGCGCCGCGCACATTCTTTTCAAGCGTTTGCAAAAGCTTCTCGGATTGAAGGCGGGTCGTTTTCAAGATGCGGCTCGCGCGTGAGCGCTGCGCACATTCGTAACACGAGACTTGCAATAGCTTCGCGGGTTGAGGGTGGGTGATTTTCAACATGGGGCTCTCGCTGTAACGCCACGCGCATTCTTTTGAAAAACGGCAAGAATTTCACGGGTTGAGGACGGGTGGTTTAGAACATGTGGTTCTCGCCTTAGCGCCGCGCGCATTCGTTTAAACCGTTTCCAAAAATTTCACGGATTGAACGCATTTTTTTATTATTTCAAAATGTGGCTCTCGCCCACGCGCCGCGTACATTCGTTCTGAACATCTGCAAACGTTCAACGGATTCCCATGATCAATAACGTACGGGACATGTTTTTTGAGCGGTTCAGGATGATGAGGGTGCAACAGTTACGTTGATTCGCGGCGTTGGACTCCCAGGAATGGCGTTCTGGCGCGGTTCAGGATCGTCAGGACGCAACATTCTGGTTGATCCGTGGCGTTGGAACCCCGAAAACGATGTTTGGGTTGTTTCACGGTCATCAAACCGTTGTCTTCCAACGAGGCAATTTCCCTCAGTGGACATGAACCGTTTTAGGGGCCTATGACGAGGGAGCTTGGAGGGGGGGTTTCGTCCAATTTCGTTGATGGCTCTTGGGCTTACAGTGGCCCTCCTCCTTCTCCTCCTCCTCCTCCTCCTCCTCCTCCTCCTACTCCTCCTCCTCCTCCCCCTCCCGTCCCATCGCTGGGGGATCGGAGGGAAACGGAAAGCGGACAGGAGGAGGGCGGGCAAATCGAGGGGATTGGCGGATGTGGAAAATGGAAGGGCGGAGGGAGGGACAAAGGGAGATATAATTGGGAGAGGGATGATAAGCTCGGATGGAAATTCGTAGAAGGGGACGACATGGAAGCGGAATCAGGGAAGGAGGGAAAGGGCCGCGATCACCCAAACGACCAGTCCCTCCCCAGGACAGGCCCAAGAATTTTTTATTTTCATTCCACAACATATCTGTAGTTGCTTCCAACTATTCCCGGACAGCCCCGCCCTCTACCAACGACTTGTTGCGAACATCTTCGAATTTCCCGAAGCCGCGATTTGCATGTCTTCTTTGGATGTGTCAAGGTTCGCATCGCCCCTCCCCGCAGTTCAGCAAAAAGGCTGGGCAATTCATTACCAAGTGGTTATGCCCATGAGTTGCCAAACCCTTGCCTAAATGGTTGGGCAAGGGGCTAGCCAACCGCTAGACGGTTAACCTAAACGCTTAGCTAAGTGGTCAGCGCCTCCGTAAACCTTTACCTGACACCTTACGGTCCGTTGGATGCCGTCTCGCAAAAATCCAAATCCAGCATCCACAACACGTGTAATTCTAGCTTCGTCGAGTGGAAGCGGCGGCTGGGAGACGCGGCCCTTCGTGAAAGGACGCAGGTGACAACTGAAGAGACGCATACGTTTCTTACCGAATCGAGAGGTGGGTCGAAACGGGGCGAGGGACAGGAAGGGAGAGGGAAAATATCATGGGATCGGAAATTCAATCTGGCCGCATGCAGACATCGCTTTCCACGGGGCCCCAAACGGAAGGTGTCTGAACTAATCCTCTACTAATTAATTGCCCTTTGTTCCTCATCCTCCCCACTCACAGGATCAACGCACCGTCCATGTTTGTTCCCCATATCCTAAGATGGGGTTCTTGTTCCCCATATCCTAAGATGGGGTTCTTGTTATTACTTGGACGCCTCCTACTCCTTCTCCTTCCTCCTCCTCTTTTCTCCTCCCCTCCTGTCGGGCTTACTCATACTCAGACTTGCTCATACACAGACTTACTCATACTCAGACTTACTCATACTCAGACCTACTCATACTCAGACTTACTCACACTCAGACATACTCATACACAGACTTACTCATACACAGACTTACTCACACCCAGCCGTACTCATACACAGACTCACTCATACCCAGACTTACTCATACACAGTATTAGTCATACTCAGACTTACTCATACCCAGACGTACACATACACAGACTTTCTCATACACAGACCTACTCATACCCAGACTTACTCATACACAGACTTACTCATACACAGACTTACTCATACTCAGCACCCCTAAGGGGAGCCGCCAGGGGTGGTTGCACGGGCTCGTTCGCGGCCATTTTGTGGGGATGTCTCAGGCGGTTTGCCTGTTTCTGTGCCCAACATCCTTCGCTTTCGGAGCAGATTTGGAGGATGTCTCGAGCGAGGCGCTCATTTCAGCACCCCTAAGGGGAGCCGCCAGGGGTGGTTGCACGGGCTCGTTCGCGGCCATTTTGTGGGGATGTCTCAGGCGGTTTGGTTTCTCAACATTCGCTTTCGGAGCAGATTTGGAGGATGTCTCGAGCGAGGCGCTCATTTCAGCACCCCTAAGGGGAGCCGCCAGGGGTGGTTGCACGGGCTCGTTCGCGGCCATTTTGTGGGGATGTCTCAGGCGGTTTGCCTGTTTCTGTGCCCAACATCCTTCGCTTTCGGAGCAGATTTGGAGGATGTCTCGAGCGAGGCGCTCATTTCAGCACCCCTAAGGGGAGCCGCCAGGGGTGGTTGCACGGGCTCGTTCGCGGCCATTTTGTGGGGATGTCTCAGGCGGTTTGCCGGTTTCTGTGCCCAACATCATTCGCTTCGGAGCAGATTTGGAGGATGTCTCGA